CCCAGGTTGCCGGTTAATCTTTGACACGTAGCATTCTCTTTCATAATTCAGTGCATGGTAAAAGCCAGCTGTTTATTGTATGTATTCATGTTTGTATTGTTACTGCTGACGATTTTCCTTATGTATATTTTTTTCCTTCTTTTTAGATTATGTTGATTTAAGTTAAAGGGGGGAAACTAAGCAATACAAATAGGCAACTATCCGATGCTATGATTGCCAGAAACACACAGGTTAGGAATTTCAGCCTTTTTCTTAAAAATAGCACTGCATCACTTCAGTAGAATGCTATTTGTGTTTAGATCAAAATAGTATCGAGAAAACGTCAAGCGGAATATATGTGTTTGCATATGAAAATATGATGTGTATCCATCATGCGTGTTCATATAAAGACGATAAATGCGAGTGTCGAACATATAGAATAAGCGGTTCACGGGATCTGGTAGACGCCATTCCATTGAATTTCTTGGAATATATCAAGAAAAAAAAAGGATGAACATGAATTATGAGTCCGCCAACACGTGCATAATCAGACACACCTGTCTGCTCATACATGACCTTCAACTGAATTTGACACTTTACTTACAACCCACGAAACATATGTGACTGAAGTGGTGTTCCTGCTCAATCAGCTCTCCGCTGTTCCATCTGTTTCCGCTGACCTTGGTTTTACAGATCTTACCCCCCGACCTTGCCTCTGTGAACTTCTTTCCCTCCTTGACCTTCCCTGCAAACTAAGAGTCAATTGACTTTGTTTACACTCGTGTTTGCACCTGACTTGTTTGTCTCTGCTCTGACTATCTGCCCTTCTGGGGCACTCGTTTCGCCAGGCCTACGACACATACTTCTCATATCAACTTAACGATTTGTCAAACTTTTGGGCCGTCTAGCATAGTGGTAACTTTCTCTCTCTCTCTCTCTCTCTCTCTCTCTCTCTCTCTCTCTCTCTCTCTCTCTCTCTCTCTCTCTTCTCTCTCTCTCTCTCTTTCCTTTCCCTCTCTCTCTCCTTTCTCTCACTCTCTCCTTTCTCTCACTCTCTCCTTTCACTCACTCTCTCTTTTCTCTCACTCTCCTTTCTCTCGCTCTCTCCTTTCTCTCACTTTCTCTTTTCTCCCACCCTCCTCTCTCTCTCTCTCTCTCTCTCTCTCTCTCTCTCTCTCTCTCTCTCTCTCTCTCTCTCTCTCTCTCTCTCTCTCTCTCGCTCTCTCTCTCTCCCTCCCTCTCTCTCTCCCTCCCTCTCTCTCTCCCTCCCTCTCCCTCCCTCCCCTCCCCCTCCCTCCCCCTCCCTCTCCCTCTCACTCCCTCCCTCCCTCTCTCCCTCTTTTTCTCTTGTTTTCATTTCTCTCACTCGCCCACTCATTCACACACACACACACACACACACACACACACACACACACACACACACACACACACACACACACACACACACACACACACACAACCCCCCCCCCCTCTTTCCGCTTGCCACATCTAGCTGCTAGAGCACACTCCAGGGACGTTACCAATCAGGCATACTAATTGGGTGTGAGTTGTGAGGATGCAGGCTAGGAAGTGGATGCTGTAAGGTCCCATGGGCGGGGAGAGCGGCATTCCGACACACCCGAGAGGAATGTCTGTAGGAACACACACGCATGTGGAGGATTCTCACGCGCGCACGCACCGTCTTGGTCTTCTCTTCATCGAGGATTTTGCAAATTGGAGACGGGACGGCGAGAAGGAAAATTGCAGTGTTCGCGAAACGGAAAAAAAGGAGTTGATGCAGATGGCAAGTAATGTTAGGCACCGAATAAACAACGGTGGTAATAAAGTGACGTCACAACTTGTCTGGCAGTGCAGCTGGGCATGTGCCAAGTCCTGTACGAACGCACGAACACATTATGTTACCAGGCTTCGCCAGATAGGATGCTCTGTTGTTACTTTACTTACGGACTTTCACTTATGCTCCGGTAATACTAAAGGCAGTAGATCTGCATTATTATAAAGTAACTTCCTATATAAAAAAAATAACAAAAAAAAGCGGTCTATGGCCATTAATGAGTTGTTGATTGTTCTAGGTAAGAGCAATCCTGTGGGCAACCCTCAAACACTACGTCATCTTTCGTCACACTACGTCATCTCCCAAAATGGAGGCATACGTCATCTTACGTTAGCCTGCACTACCTGGCGAGACGGTACGATGCATACTAATAAGATGTGACGTAATGGGCAAGTGGGCGGACGGGTTCTTGTACTGACCAATTTACGATGCGGCTGCCAAGGTATAGTCTGGATGTCTGCAGTCATGTTTGTGAAATTTATCCTTTTCTTTTCTGTCCTTCTCTCGTTTTCTCTCGGCAAGACCCTTGCTCCTTCAAATTATCCTGACTCCTAAGGGGATGCTGCAGCAAATGTAGGCCTAGCTATACCTGTTACTGATGCTGTTGCTGTTACTTGCTGATTAAACCTGGAAAACATGAACAGGAAGTAATCAAAGGAAAGTACGTTGCTGCTTTCATTTTGCCATGAGCAGGAGGGCTGAGCGATTTTTTTGTGAAACCTGAGTTATGTTTCTCGAAATTATTCATTAGCAATCACAATTAGTCGGTTATTAATAACAAACCCTAAACATGTGCGCTTTACACTAATTTAGGTATTCCAAAAGGATAGTATGGCTCGCATAATGTGTCGGCCTCTGCCCTCTGTGAAAATAAATAACGAAACACATTAGTATAAACTAAATAGATATAAATAGATTATACCAAAACAAAAAAATGCAAAAGATAATAAAGAAAAGATGCAATGCTCGTGTTGTGGAATCACCGGGCGAGCAGGTAAGTTGCCAGATGTCGACAGGAGAGAGAACAGGGTAGGGGATGACATCATCGCCTCAGTCGCTACGTCACCCCACGTCATGGTGTCTGCGGTGCCGCCCGACCAGATGCTGCCCGAACAGGCCCTTTTCGCGTACCATATCGGGCGCATTACCACCTATACCTTAATCATGCACGCCCAAAATCTAATGCATGAACTAAATCTCTTCTCCTCTCTCTTCGTTTCCGAGGTTTCGAGTTTGTATAACATACTTTACTTATAAAGAAACCGTTTGTCTATAAGTAGTGTTTGTATGACCATGTGTGTCCAGCACCGAGGTATTTGTTGTCAAACTTGGTTCATGAAGAGTTGGCTCTTGAATATATCAAGCATGAGTCAAGGACGGCCTAAATAAGCCAAGACGGGCAAAGAATTGAATAACTACGGCCTCGGAGGAAAATGCTGATGGTTGTGACTAATATTCAAAACAATTCAACAGTCTGAAGAGGATTTGTTCTAATCATGGTCATCACTCGCATCATTATCTCGGCAAAAAAGTGGCGCGAAGTTGGATGGAAAGAAAGAGGAGAGGAGAGGAGCATCGCACTTAAGTGTTTGTTTAAGGTTAATATTTTAAGTGAACAACAAGGCTTTCTGGGTGTGAGCTGGTCCAAGCGTCTCTCAGACACCGATGCTATGACTGGTGCCACGCCGAGAGAGCGCCATGCGCGCTTTACCACCACGGGACTCTCACCGGCTTGGCATGGGGCTGTAGCATACACAGGCACTATCTCTAAGTCGACCCCTAGCCAAGCAGTGACAGAACGCGTCTATTCTTAGTTAATTCTGTTCCCGAATTAGTCGGTAGCATAGGATTCAATTGGCACCAGGAGAGGGTAAAGCGAAAAAGGGGAGAAAAAACCTTGTGTTGGCACTCCGCAACAAGGGCCACGTGCCAGCATGGATGTGCTAGGATACGTAATCGCGAATCATGCACTTAATATAGTAACTAAAAGTGAGGCGCGAGCCAGAATTCCCGCGCCGAACAAGTGGTGGTAGGTTTGGTAATGCCTCTGGGTATGCTGCTTCTATGCTACCTATGTTACACTCATCACATCAGACTTCGCTGCGAGGGGGAGGGGATGGGACGGGGTGGGAGCACAGGCACACACACACACACGCACAAGCACACGCACACGGCAAGCAGACACAAACAGAAGCACTGACAAGCTATTCAAACCACGTTCTACCTGGCTCTTGGTGGCTCATAACGAGTACGGAAGACCCGGGAACGTTTGAACGGTACAGTCATAAAGTCGTACTTTGTTTTCATCATCCGACTGTGAGACCTGCAAGAGGGAAGTTGGCAGAGTAAACACCTCTGGGAAGGGTTGGGGCCACGCGGGCACGTTAAGACGGGCGGGAGGTCGATTTGCTGTTTTACTTTTCACTCTCCACACAATAAAACAGAGAGAACTTCCGGCGAGCGATAACTAATCTGCCTCCGGAACCAAAAGATTAGATTCCCCTCCTCACCCCCCTCCCTTCCCATGATAACAGGTGGCTGCTAGCTAGTACACCTGTGTTGTTGCGTGAGCTGGATATTATGGCGTCGGTCTATCTACCGTTTCCCCCCCTCCCCCACATTCATCTTTCGCACCTGTACCGCTAGTTTCAACAGATGTCCAGATGTTGCACTTGTACAGCCAGCACCACTGAAGGTTAACCCCATTCCAAGGACACATGCACTGAACCCCCAATAACCTTGAGCTAAAGCCAAGGTGCAATAACCGCGGCACAGTGTTGCATCCATGGGTGTAGGCCTAAGTACAGAGGCAGTTAATGCATGCCTCGTGTTGCCATGCACTAACCATTCCTTCACGTGTGTCCTGGGGTCACTACGAAGACGGCCTGCATGAGGGCGCGCTATCGGTGCTTCACAACCATGTCCAGCATCGGCCTGGTGACCCGGCACTGTCACATACACCTCCACGTGACACGAGTGTACCGCACTGAGATTGACACCATGACATGACCGTGTTACCGTCACCACCATCTGTCAGTCACTGAGGGATCCCGCATGCGGCGCGGGCGCGGGGGCACGAGGCACTGGGCAGGCAGGCAGGGCACCGGGTATCTACCACAACACGCGGTGAAAGCGGAGGGGGCGGGAGGTAGAGGGGGCGGGGCCGCTCGAGGTCAACACCTAC